TGGAGAGCGCGGCTGAGCCAAGATGGCGCCAGGACTCTGCCAAGTCCATGATTAGGCGCATGATATACCGCCGGGCCCTCCTTCACTGCGCACCGCGCAAGTGCAACGCTGCAGAGCCTATGAACTGCTGACACGCTGGTACGGGGCTTGTGGGTGGAGACCAAGGGATATAAGTACGGGACAACGGGGAAGAAGAAGGGAAGAAGCTAGAAGAAGACAAAGAAGAAGCTGGCATGGTGTAAAGGCTGAATAAACTGCTTTGAGAAGAACACGTTGTTGTTGCCTCCTTCCTGCTGGTCAGGGGTGAGCGACATTTTCCTATAATTTATTTAGTCAAGGTGATAAATACTCCATAAGGTAGTTTACACTTTTATCCACATAGTATAAAAAGAGAGGGCTATTGCTACTGAAATAAAGTAATCTGGAAAAAAGCCTTTTTGGAAATATTGTTTCCTATAAAAGGAAGGGCTTTTTGTGTTCACTATTAGTTTTGAAGACTCAAGTCATCAGTCTTAGATTATCCCTATTAAAAGTAAAAGCAGTGATAAAACAATGATAATGCTACTTGGCATTTATGCTGGTCATTATTGTACAAAAAAATCTCAGTGTCATATGTCAGGTCTCAGTCTGGTCTCTTGAGTATGTTACAGCTCCCATTTACAGATGGAATAATGGAATTAGCAACGATATATGTCTCACTAAAGGACCCAAAATAAGTCACTCAACAGAGATAGAAGAAAACAAAGTTCTATCAGTATTCAATATTGTTCCTTTTAACAAGCAGCATAATTCCAAGTATGGGGTCAGTAAGTGTGGCTATATACAATGCAATGAGGCCTTGGGAATCAGGGTGCACAATTTTAGTTCCTTCATTCATTCAACAGTATTAACTGAGCACTCACTACATACATGTCAGGTACTATTCAGGGCACTGGGAAGGAAAGTTCCTAATCTCACGAAACTTACACTCTAGTGGGGAAAAGACAGAAAATAAATCAAAATAAGTAACAGGTGAAGATAAGTGGTATAGAGAAGAAAAAAATGCAAATAAAATAGGGAATGCTGAGCATATACACAAGGTCTTATTTTATATAGCATGATCAAGGAAAGCCTCCACAAGAAAGTAGCATTTGAGCAGGTATCAGGAGGAAGAGTTGTTAAAAGTACAATTTTCAAAAAGTTATGTGATTCACCTGAAAACAAATTGAAGATCTATCAAAGATTTATTCTACATATTTATTAATAAATATTTAAGACTAAATGAATCAGATATTAAGACTGGTTCAAAGGGCATCTGAAGAGCTGCTATAAATATAGGAAATTTAACAATGAAGTGTTAGGCTAAGAAAAAAACAGTACCTTAGATACAAAACCGGTTAATGTCCTACAGGGCAATAACCTATATTCTTTGAAGTTATCTTTTCTAACAGAAATTATTTGCATATCTTCTGGAAAAAATTATATAAATTAACGTGTAACTTCACTGCATCTGACTTTTAATCAATAGTAAACAATGAGTCAAATAAAGTACATTCTCCTAAATAGACCGGGAGTGGGCTATTAAACAATGTCATCATAGTACATAGAAAAAACACACTGCCTGTCTTTTTCCTTATTTTGAAGTTTTGCATTTTTTAAAAAAGCAGAGCTTTGAAAATATCTAAAGAAACAGCATTCCAAGTCAAGAATGTGAAAAAATCACAAACCACATCACCCAATATGCAAAGAATGCCCTCCCCAACACATACACATTTGCTGGACCTTATTGTAAAGTATGCTGTAAGTAAACAGTTGGGGTAAACTGGAGAAGTCAGAAAACTTATACTGGAAAGAGAATGGGAATTGAGTTTGGGATGTTATCTATTCACATTTTTAAAACACTACCTGCTGAATTTAAAACTCTTTATAGAAAAGAGGAAGGGTGGGAGCTAGAAGACCATTTAAGAGACAATTACAATGATCCGGGCAAATAAGTAAACATATATTTTGTCAGACATAAAAGATGCTAAGGAGAAAAATAAAGCAGAATATGGTAAGGTTGTTGGAGAGGATGTCAGCACTGTCTGGAAAGGCCTTTCTAATAAGATAATATTTGTACAGAGACCTGAAGGATGGAAGGAAGAAAATCATGAGGGTATCTGAGGGAAAAGTTCTCTAGACATTGGGACAAGGCAAAATGATTGAGGAAGAAGCGGCAAGAAAAAGACAGGAGGAAGGGATATAAAAGAATGTAGTGCCTTGAAAAACATTTAAGGACTTTGACGTTTCAGTGTGAGTGAGGTAAGAAGTCACTGAAGCAGAGGAATGATGTAACTAGTCATAAGTTTTAATCCAATCACAGTGGCTGCAATATGGGGAATGATCCATATGTGGGCAATGACAAAGGCAAAAAAGATTAGTTAGAAAGATACTTTAGTATTCCAAGGGAGAAATAATGATGGCTAGAATAGCTTGATAGAAGTGACCATGAAGATAAATGGTCAAAACCTGGATATTCTGAAGGTAGAGACAAGAAGTCTTCTTAAAGAAAAAGACATGGAAGAAGTACAAAAAAGAAATAAGAGTGGGTTTGACCTTAGCAATTAGAAAGATGAAAGTGCCATTTACTGGGATTGGGAAGACTGTAGAAGAAACAAAAAATATGAGAAGGAGAAAAGGAGACATTGACAATTTATTTTTAAAAGTTTAAGTATTTCAGTTTGGGTTTACAAAATTATAAATGTAATATCAAATGTAATTACAACAAAAAATTAGAATAACATACATAGTTATTAAAAATAAAATTAAGTTATTAAAATTAAAAGGTATAAATAAGTTATTAAAAATAATATTAGTTCCCAAATTTTATTTATCAGAAACATTGCCAAATTGAGCCTCAAACTACTAACCATCAGGCCTTCTAGCAGATTCTTACTTTTCAAAATGGCAGTCTTCATTAATTTAACCCATGTTGATCAATGCTTCATGTATTTAAGCAAGTACGTGACTCTGATTCTTCACTTTTAAGATATTTATAGAGCACCTTCTGAAATTATAGTACATGCTTCATCAAGAATCCTACATTTTAAATTTAAAATTATCTGAGCCTACCTGAAGTTCCTTGTATCTATCTTGAAATAAAATGGCCTCTTGCTCTTTTTCCTTTAGAAAGCCTTTTTCTAAGACACTATGTTTTTCCATCAATGATTCCACATCCTAAAAGAAAAATCAAAACACAAACTTTGCAATATCTAATGGCATAAAATATATTTCATTTTTTCAATGAGCATATCAGAAAATATTTTTCAGAGAAAGAACCCACAAGAAGTATAGTTTAATGTCTAACAATACTATAAATTGCATGCTTTGCTGTAATTTCTAGACCAATATCAAACTTTCATATAGGATCATATCAATTTCATCAACACAAGCAATCTCTACATACACTTTCTTTACATTTGCTAAGGTCTTTTTATAGATATATTTGTAAAGAAGAGAGATGAGAGCATAAAAAATAACTTACTAAAATGGCTTTATGTTTAAGCATTCTTGTCAAATATTCCATGATGCATGACTTCGCACATGAAGTTGATATCACAAAATTTCATGTATTTGTAAGAAATACAACTTACTGCTTTCAAAGTAAATAAAAATTAACCAAAAAAAGAAAGTAATAGTTGGAGGGGGAAAAAAACTACCAAAAGCTGTTCATTTCTTTAAAAGTACATATTTAAAAATATTTCTTATCAAAGGCTTTTCCAAGTGATAAGCTAACATAACTGCTTAAATCTACAGCCAAGGGAAAACAACATCTTCTTCCTCTAAAAAATTTTTCATCTGAGTTTGGTATTATATCAAGTTTCCAGTATATGTAATTCAAATATTTATTTCTTAGGCAAATATAAACATACCTTTTTAATTCTCTGTTTTTCTTCTTCAGATACTTTGAGTTTATTCTCCAGGCTTGAAATTTTTTGCTGAAGCTGTATGTTGGATACATTGCCTCCAGGATCCTCAGAATCATCCACAAGAGTAATTGTTCCATTACTTTTTTCATCAGTTAAAACCAATGGAAAAAGTGAGATATCCAGATGAGTGTCTGTTGATTGCTGAATCTAAACCACATTAAAAAAAAACACACACACACACACAAGAGAGGAAAGTTTACACTATACCAATAATGAAAACATCCAAAGGGCACCAGAAACCACACTTGGAAATTAAGTTGTAGCAAAGGTTCTGAAATTATTTCACCCTTTAAGTAAATCAACAGAAGACCTCAAATTGTTATAACAACCTGATCTTTGCTGTAAGAAACAAAATTTCCTCTCAACTTCTAAAATCTAAGGCATTTATTATTTTGTTTGCAATGTACTAAAAAACTTAAAACTTTTTCTATGATTGAAAGTGTATGATTAAGTATAGGCACATTTGATATCAGTTCTTAATTTTACATACAGACCTAGAATCTGTTTATACTTAAAACTGTAAACTGAAATTTGAAATTTATTAATAACCAGTATACTAAACTTCACTTTGTAGAAAAATTAACAGGTGACTCAAAATTGTATATAGCACTGTAGAAATCAGTACAAGGTCCAGCACCTAGCATAAATGCCTGGTTCAATAAATATTTAAATGACTAAATCCTTTGACTGCTGTCTTATTTATTCCCTAAAATTGAACCAGATGCACTAATACTTAAAAACATGTTGTAAGATCCCCTGAAAAGAGAAATAACTACTCTTTTTTGTAATTATTTTCCCTTTTGAGTTCAAGATTTGAAATGCAAGGCCAAGTCAATTTTAACATATAACATACTCAGCTATGGTCGCCATGTTTTCAAGTTTTGGTCCTTCTCCCCTACCTTGGGGAGGTGAATCTCCTCTCTCTTTCTCTCTCTAATTTACTTTCTAAATTATATTTTCCAATCTTAGACTATCTACTGCAGAAATATTTCTCTTAGAAGAATAGACTAAAAAAGAAATCAGAAAAGCATCAATTAAGTTAGTGGGCAATTTTTTTTTTTTTTTGAGTTGGAGTCTCACTCTGTCGCCCAGACTGGAATGCAGTGGCCGCTGCCGGCCACCGCAGCCTCGACCTGCTGGACTCCGGCGATCCTTCTGCCTCAGCCTTCCAAGTAGCCGTAATTACAGGCATGCGCTACCACGCCCGGTTGATTTTTTGATTTATTGCAGAGATGAGGTCTCGCTGCCTAGGCGGGTCTCAAACCCACGGGTTCAGGCAATCGACTCACCTCAGCCTCCCAAAGGCGCGGGATTACAGGCTGAGCCACCGAGCCTGGCTGAGCAATTTTTAAGTATGCAAACTTCCTTTAAAACACACTTGTTTTTGCTTATGCTTTAGCAACGGTTTGACTCACAATGCTGTTGTCTGCATGCATATTCTCTGGCGACGAAATGACGGCATCAGGAGAGAGGCAACCAATTGAAGGAGAAGAGTGGTTATGGTCCAGTACAATCTCAGGAGAAGCTGATGAAAGATGGACCCCAGATACTAAAGAACAACAACGACAACAAAAAGGGTAAGATTATTAAAAAGAAAACAGAGAGTAGGGGGAAAGAAAGGGAAAAGTGTGAGGGAAGTTAAAGCAATGAGACTGAAAATCAGGATTCTATTACTATTCCTCAGAGAACATTATCTGAAATGTAAAAGTAGTGTTTCTGATTTTAACATGCCATTCCATGTGAGACCCAGTGAAACAAAATAATTTTATAATGTCTCAGTGTTTACATACTAACATGCTGCCATAGTAAGTGCATTTTCAAAGCAGAGAAAATATTCAGACAGATTATATATTCATGTGTTTCATTCTTAAAAATTCATCTAGTTTTTTTTTAAAGAAAAAAAAAGTTAGAGTGCCTACTAGTGCCAGGCACAGGCATCAGGCACTGAGGAGACAGAAGTGAGCAAGACAGATGTGCACTCATGTATCCAATGACTGTATAACTTAGCAGGCAAATCAAGCAATTGAACATTCATTACAATAAAGTTGGTAAGAGGAAAGAACAATTACTCTGAAACAACTAACCCAACTGTCTCTGCATTAAAATCTTATTTTGTAACAACAAAAAAAAAGATTTTTACATACTAAAATAAAGTCGATTTAAGTTTGCTGAATTGTTTTTACAGAAAAATGTTGATTTTTTTCTGCAATTAATTTCACAACAAATTATCAATAAATTGTGATTAGGGTTCAATATAAAGGTCATGAAAAGAAACTCATTTATCAAGCATGATATAAAACAAAAAATATGGATGAGGACAAAATAAACAGGTTGTATTTTAAATTTTATTTTCAAACATTCTTTGTAAAAATTCAAGTAAATGTGTATTATGTGTTTTAAAATTTAAGAGTAACTGAATCATTGCTTGCTGCAATCTATTTGTACATTTTACTTTCTAAAGTATAAAGACCTTTATTCCACATTGGCATCAGTAGTAATGTCAGCGAAGTTCTACCATAAATTCTGGAAGGCAGCTCACAATGTTTATTGCATTGTTCCCTGAAGAGAGACATTTAGAAAGCCTTTAGGTATTAACAAACTAAAAAAATATATCTTTTTCTTATTGGTACTCTAAAGGATTACTTAATTATATCATACACACTTTTTTTTACTATAGCAATATTATGTTTTTAAGATATTATGTGCTATACTATCTAATTAAGATAGTCTTAGCTTCACCCACAGGCAATTCAATTTTTTTTAACTCAAGGACACAAAACTGAAATTTTAATTCATGTTATATTTTTCAGAAACTTTTTTTCCTAATTCTCATTATTCTACATACTGAGAGTTCCCTAAAACATTAAAATATGCCAACATATAATTCTGAATTATAATTTATAATAAAAATGTTACTAATGAATATTTAAGGTATGAAAATAACTAGCATAGTACTGTGAGAAGGAATATAGCTTTGTGATGAAGAGGCTCTGGGACCATATTGCCATACCAGGTATAGAACAATGGGCAAGTTATTAACTTCTCTGCACCTCTGTTTCCTCATCTATAAAATGGACATAGAGTTGCTAATGAGTTTTAAATTGTCTAAAATGTGTAAAGCATTTAGCACAGTGTTGATATTATTTCCATTATTATTTTAAAGACTGTTATTAAAATTTGGGGACAAGTATGTTTATTTAAGGGCATAATGTGGCTGTGATTCTGGATTCAAGAAACTTTTAAGTATCATTCTGATCTAACAGCTGAATGTTTTAATATTTATTTGTGTCATTCATATGTACAGTCACAACTTAAGACAAGATGTCATGTTGTCCCAAGTTAAATCATCATCCTGTATCATTAAATGTTCAAGTGTGTCATATTAGGGAAAGAAAAAAAAAAAGAGTAGAATACAGGAAGGGTAGGAGAGGGAGAAAGAAAAGAAGAAGAGGAAGGTGAGGGAGAAAAGCAGGAAGATGAAGGTACAATAAGCCTCCAATTAGCTATCATCACCCTATATCATTCTTTCCTTTCATAACCAAATTTCCTGAATAGTTTATAATCCCCATCTCCATTTCTTCTCCCTCAGTCCAATTTTCATTACTCCACTGGATCTGTGATTTAAGATATTACTCGTTCTTTCAGTTAAATCAAATAAATATTTCTGACCTTAGCTTGCTTTAATTCTCCAGAGCACATGATATTAAGGACCTTCAATTTTTCTTAAAATTCCTCCTTTGGCGCTTGTAACACCATGATCATCTAGAGTTCCTCCTAACATTCTATTTTTTCCTTAATTGCTTTTCAGGCTCTTTCTCCAGTAAATCTTAAGGTCATTTTTTCCTATATTTTCTGATCTTATCACTGTACACAATATTCTGTTATCACTTTCAAGAGCCATTATTTAAATCACCATCTAAAAGTTAATGATACCCAAATTCATATATCTAGCACAAATCACTCTGTAGACCTCGATTTATATACTCACCCTACTATCAGACAGTTCCATTTAGCTGTCCCACAGGTACATCAAATTTACCCATCATCTTATATAAACCTGTTTTGCTTCATATTTTCCATCTCAGCAAACAGTACCTCAATAAACTATTTGCCCAAGCCAGAAATACCACTAAGTGCTAACTTGACTCTATTCACAGTGTGCTACTAACATTCCCTGATGATGCCATATTGTTCAATACCTCTGTGACCTCACAGCATTATTACCTAAGGAAAAGCCACAAGCGTTGGAGTCAGATATGAATTCAAATATGTACAATAACAATTTATACATTCTGTAGCCTTGGGCAAATTTCACAAACTCCTCTAAGTCACAGATTCCTCGTCTAAAAAAGGGATAATATGTACTTCAAAATGATGTTATACAGTTTAAATGAGATAATAGATACAAACCACTTAGCTCTGTGACAGGGACATGGCATACATTCAATAAATGAAAGTTGTTATTAAAATTACTGTTTGGCAACATTTTAAACAACTTTTTTCAGAAATTCTTTCACCTACCCCACTACCTCCCCAACCACAATATAACTGTAATTTTCTACTGCCAGTTAAGATACTATAAAATTTATAAGAAATGTTGACAAACCATCGCATATCAGAATCTATGGGATACATTTAAAACAATCATTTGAAAAAAAAAATCTACAGCCTTGAACAGTTCAACCAATAAAAGTGAATTTCCATCTCAAATTTAAAAAGAAACAACAAGAAAATTTAAAAAGCAGGATAAGAAAAATAAAAAAGATAATGCAGATACTGATGTAGAATAATTTTTAAAAGCATAATTAATCAAAATCCTGGGTTTCTAAGAAATAAACAAAATAGTAGCTAACTCAACAAAAAGAGTATAAATATACAAAATTAAATGACAAGGAGAATATAGCTATTAAAACAAAAGAAAATTGTAAGGCTCCCCTACAGATATCTAAGTAAATTGTAAAATTTAGAAAAATGAGTGATTTTTCTATAGGAATATGGTTTATAAAGCTTTATTTGATTTGATTAGAAGTAAAAAAGAATCTGAAAACAGATCTATTTTCTTGGGAAAAAAAAATAAAGTCATCAGGCAAAATCTCACATATAAAGCATTAGGTTCAGATTATTTCAAGATGATTTCTACCAAAACTTCGAAGAGTAGATAATCCCAATACACTAAAATTAAAAATGAAGAGCACAAAAAAGAAAGGAAAACTTCATTAACATTACATGACATTAACATAGCACTGGTAGCTAAACCTGATAAAAACAGTAAATAAACAGAAAAAAAAACTGCAATTTATAAAGTATCACTTCTAATGAAGTATAAGTTCAGAAAATCTAAGACTCTATTAAGAAAATTATATGCAATGAACAAGGAGAAGTTATTCCAAGGAATGCAAGCTTGGTTCATTATTACGGAATTCATTAATATATTACTCCATATTAAAACACTTAAAGAGAAACATGATATGATTATCTCCAACACTCTGAAAATGACTAATAAAACAGAACACTCATTTTGGTTAAAAACTATCAAGAAATAGACATTGATGGATACTTCTTTACTATAATCAAACATAAACCTCAGCCCTAAAGCCAGTATCTTTCTTTCTTTTTTTGTTTTTGTTTTTGTTTTTGTTTTTTTTTGAGTCAGAGTCTCATTGTCACCCAGGCTGAAGTGCACCAGTGGTACACTCATGCCCACCACAACCTCGACCTGCTGGGCTCAGGTGATTCTTCCACCTCAGTCTTCCAATAGCTGGAACCGCAAGTGTGTGTCACCATCCACGGCTAATTTTTTAATTTATTGTAGAGACAAGGTCTCACCAAGTTGTCTAGACTGGTCTTGAACCCGTGGGCTCAGGCAATCCTCTTGCCTTGGCCTCCCAAAGTACTAAAATTACAGGTGTGAGCCACAGCATCTGGCCCAGCATCTTTCTTAATGGAAAATAATTAAAGGTATTTACTCAAAGATAAAGAATAAGACAAGATACCTACCATTTCTATAGTATGTAACATTGTACTAATAGCTCAAATCAGTGCAGTTAAACAAGAGAAATCAAATAGCAGCATAAAAATAGGAAAAAGATGAAAACTACATCATGTTCCTTTCATGAGAATTCATGATAAAATCAAACAATAAAAGCATTCAGCAAAGTAGAAGGATATAAAGAAACAGAAATTAATATAATTCACATATAAAAACAATAACCACTCAGAGGATATAACATTAGAGAGTGCAAGAAAGAAAATACAGTAATCACAAATAAATTTAGCAAGAAATGTAAGGATAATTTTACAACACTCCCAAAAGACACAAAGATAAACCTAAACAAAGGTAAAGATATTTCTTGTAACTGAACAGAACACTAAATGTCATAAAGATTCCAGATCTTCTTACTTAATTTAGAGGATTAATATAATTCCATTAACTTTTTAAATAGTAAAGCTAGATAAATGGACATTAAATATAACATAAAAAAAGTAAACTGGCAAAAATAGGAAAACATTTAAAAAGGAAAAACTACAAGGAAATACCAGCCCCCTTTA